ATTTATAATGAATCATGTCAACAGGCCTTTCAGCAAATCAAAACAATTCTCATGGTCTCTACAGTTCTTTCATCACCAGATTTTGATAAAGAATTTTTGTTGCAAATTGATGCTTGTGGGGCAGTTTTGTTACAAGAAGATGAAAATTATGTTTGTCATCCTGTTGCTTATTTTTCCAAAAAGTTTTCAAAATGTCAGAAAAATTATTCAACTGTAGAAAAATAGTGTTTGTCCATGTTATAAGCATTGCAACATTTTGATGTGAATGTGAATTCATCTGTACATCCAGTTGTTTTCACTGACCACAATCCACTCACATTTGTTCACAAAATGAAAAACAAGAATCAAAGGCTTATGAGATGGAGCTTGGAATTACAAGAGAAAAACATTGTCATAAAACATATTAAGGGAAAAGAAAATTTAATTGCAGATGATTTGTCAAGAATATAGGTTAATTAAAATGTGGTTTTTTTTAAATGTATGTAAATTTTGTGAAATCATGATATTATTTCATTGTAACCGTAAAAGTTTTCATTATACTCAAACTTTTCTTTAAGGGGGGAGGTGTTACGATACTCTGAATTATTTATAAATATTGCGTCACTATAGCTATTATTTTTATTGTGTGACGTCACGTTCCCTTTTGGAAGTTCTCGGATGTTGAAAATACACCCGAGAAACACCAGCCCGCGATCGTCTGCGACACAGGATTCAAGAGACTTTAGACACTTGGCACGGGAATAATGGACTTTTCATACTTCATAATTCGGCTTGGGCTTTTGGCTAACCGTGGAAGTATTGTAGTGTAGATAGCGATCGGTGTCCGTGGAGCAGGAGGACTTCCCTTTTGAGTAAATAAATTCTGTCCGCTATTATTGTTTACCTTCATGTGTGTGTGTAACTGTACATTGTACGCTCGTTGACCTTTGAACTCGTTGGTTGCTTTGATGGCAAGGATTTGATTCAGATGTCCAGTTGATGTGGATAGCTCTTCTGTCCCAAAGGGTAAGCAAGGCAGATCTGCCATCCATACCCACCTTAATCTCTCTCCGTGTAAGGTTGGTGGACGTGTCCCAGATCTACCAACAAAAAAGTTAAAATATTGTATGTATGATTGATTGATTGTATAGTGTTTAACGTCCCTCTCCAGACTATTTCACTGATATGGAGACGTCACCATTGCCGGTGAAGGGCTGCAAATTTAGGCCTATGCTTGGCACTCAGGGCCATTGAGCAGGGAGGGATCTTTATTGTGCCACACCTGCTGTGACACGGGGCCTCGGTTTATACGGTCTAATATAAAGGACCGCCCCATTTAGTCGCCTTTTACGACAAGCATGGGGTACTGAGGACCTATTCTAACCCGGATCCTCACGGGGCTCATATATATGAAATTATAATTTAAAATAATCAACTAGTTTTGAGATTGCACCATAATCGTTTATAATCACATATGGAAAAGAAAGCTGCAGAACTGTAGCGTTATGTTTTTATTAAATCAGTCCTTGACCATAAAGCTACAGAACAGATCCCGTAATGCCAAAAAAGTTATAGGAGAATTTCTTCTCTTTCCAGCATTAGTCAACCAACTACCTTTCACTCGCTAATACTTAACACATTCTGTAATCAGTTTGTATATTTTATTCACCTTGGAACTCTTCATATTCTTCTGTACAGACGAAAAAAATGGCTTGAAGTGAATTTCAGTAATTCAACAAATAATTCTAATCGAGCGATTTTTTCGCCTGTAGAGACGACATTAAAGGTTTGTGGCAAGGTGGATAAAATACAAAATTGGTTACATAATGTGATTTGAGTTAGAGAGTGATTGGCCAATGCTGGAAATTAAAGAAATTTTCCCCAAAAGTCCGCTAAAAATCCATAAATTGCACCTTTTTGCATTTCGGGATTTGCAGCCTCATGGTCAAAGACAAATATATCAAACCATAGCGATACAGTTCTGTAACTAATGGATAAGAGTGCAGGATGACAAGGATGTTTAGAAAATTTTGATTTAACATATTGCGAATTTCTTTTTAAAAAATAATTTGTTCATTTTCAAATTATTCGAGTGTGATATTTCAATTGAAAAAATTAATGCGTACATGAAGTATATATCTCCACTGGCCCAATCGATAACCTCGAATGCAGTCCAGTCGAGGTTGCTTCAACAAGGGTTATAATAGGCGGTTTGAGGAATGCATTCTTGATATTTTTTTCCAAAGGAGAAAGGGTAAAGCTTGTCTCCATGATCTAAAATAAAAATTATATCAGAGATCTAACACACAGACACCCACCACATACGGGGATATACGAAATACACGTATATGTACATGTACATGCAACAAAATAATAAACGGAGAAGTAAATTAGTAAACTATATGAAAATAGATATTGCATACTATGGAAACATTTTTAATTTCTACCCCATACATGGGATTTTCTGTAACTTTAAGGACTTTTATTGTTGCACTCTCTTTAAGTTTTTGGCTATGTTTCTTTTTGAACGTAAAAAACCTTTACTTCTCTCTCAATGATTGCTTGCGAAAAGTATTTCACTGTTTTCCCTGTCCCTGAGAACTTTGATTTGACGGTGCATGGTTTAGCTGTTTCTAAGATATAGGCCTTTAGGTTCTAAAAAAAAAATTATAAAAGAAGTTATTTGGTTCAATTTCTTAACATGTAGATACATTCTTTAAAATGGTTTTACATTTAATTTGCCAATACAGGCACACAATTTTAAGAGGGAAGGGGATGTCCATATACAATTTTTGGAATAAAAAAATATCGGCAAAGTAAGGTCTTGGCTATAGGTTAGTATTTTAAGCCTTATCTGATTGACCATGCACGTGGGTAATTTACCCTCCTTCCTTTCCCCACGTTTCCGACGCCTGTGGACACACTTTTCTAGAATCATGCTAAGTGCATAAAGTAAGTGGTTTTCTTTCATAGTTTAAGGTAGGAGTCTTTTCATATTTCTAATAATTAAAAATTAATGAAATTTTCACAAAATCAAGAAGACAATATCACTTAGTGATAGTACGGAGATACTTAGGTAAAGCTATAAAATGTCAAAAGTATATTACCGTGATCACATTTTGGTCGTCACTCATCGAAAACCCAAGATGTCATCCCATCAACTATTATGTAGCTGTATACTCTGAAAAGTATAAACGAAGTGTCAAGAGTATTTAAACAGATTTTACTTAACGACAAAGCATAAGAGTTTTTTACCTCACCCAAGCTGAAGGCTTAAGTGAACTTTTTTGATTGAAATACATGTGTCTGTTGTTGTTGACATCATCAATTTTTACCATTGTCATTTGTTATAGAGGACCCTAGGAGAATTTCAACCAAGCTTGCCACAAGGTATGCTTGGGTCAACATTCCAATGAGGGACTAAGCCTTTTCCAAGGGGAGATAACTTTAGTTTATTTTTTCACAAACTCTTTTGGCTTCAGGAAGTTAACCCCCCCCCCCCTGAAAATCAAAGTACTGAAAGTACTGAAAGCCGGGCTTAAGAACAGCACACAGGTGAAAAGAACAGGTTTCAGTTAAAGTATGAATGATATAAGGAATTATTAGATGCAGCGCATGAAAAAGCATCATTAAATTTTATATAAGAACAATAGGTTTAACTTTGATGAAGTATAAGGGTGATTTTATCTTTTTATTTTTTAGCTTTATATACTTGTTCTTTATTGTTATTGAGCATTTTTTTTCTTGCCTTATGCCATGGCGTCAGGCACTACTAAGGATCAATATTTCCTACGTCCGAAGCTAAGAGGTCACAGTTAGCCAACAAAATTTTGTGCATGCTGATTATCATCGAATTTTGTTACCTGCGTTTCAACAACAACAGTTAGCAGAAAAATGATCATATTACTGATACACTGAGGATGTATTTAAACATGCATACAATCGCAATATGTCGTTCGGGACGACATAATGACTAGAAAGTCTGCTATTGCAAGCAATAGCGTATGTCTCCCGAACTGGAGAATTTTCATTTTGTCATCAGTAATACTATGCCCATTAGCTAAGCTTGGACAACCATCAACTCGTATCAGTCCTTTCGGTACTTTGATTTTAAAATCGGAGCAAAGCGCATGTGCATGCATATGCAAGTTATAAATCCCATCCTGTTTGGTTCAAAACTAGAGTAGTTATAGCCATTTAAAGTTTTAGCCAATCAGATTGCAGTGCACATGCATGCACATGTTTTCATGATTATTGTTATATATCATATTGTAGTAATGCATGACTTGTCGTAATGCATGACTTATTTAAAATTTCAATGTATTTCATCAAAAAAGAAAGAGATATTAAAATTTTTGTTTCAGCCAATCAGAGCAAAGTGCACGTGCATGCACATCATTTCGTGCTAATCTGACAATGTCATATTATCTACACTATTAATATATCCTTATATAATATCCTTATGAAATGAGCATTTCATCAAAAAAGTGTAAAAGTTAAAGCAATATTCAGTATACAAGTCATTTAATGTTGCACGCATCCGCACGTAAATGCGTATGCACACAAAATGACCTTTGTTCCATACATCTACACAACATGCCTATTAGCTTTAAAAAGGTTTTAGCTCAATTGGATGGACATTTTTCTAGAACTCAAACTTGGACAACCATCAAACCTATCTGTACTTTCAGTACTTTGATTTAAAAATCGAAGTTCAAGAATTTTGACTTTTCCCCCCTTTCCATGGAAACTAATAAAAGCTTCGAATTTTTAAATCCAATGAGCACAATTAAAGAACCTAATCATTACATCCCCATAATTTCATGACGAATGTGCAAGGGACCAGAGAGGAAACTCGTGGACAAAAAAGAATTATGAAATTTCAAGGCATGTTCCGCAGCAATTTAGATATATTTCTACAAAAGTCTTTCAATTATGCTGTGTTTTAGTCAATTTTCAGGATCCCCTTATGCAGGAAATTGCTCAGAATTTTGCAAGTGTAGATAACTAAGATATTAAAATTAAAATGTTTTCACCATGTTTAATGTTATATCTTATAGCTGTTGTAAATACGGGAGAAATTTACAGAAATAAAAGTCTGTCAAAACAGATATGTTGATCTCCCAATTGATGTCTTTGTTAATTCTCACAATCGCACAGTCTTTTGGTGTCCAGACCATAAAATCACACAAGGATTTCCCAATTATATGAAGCTGTCCTTGCACTTGATCATAGTATTGGTGGTTCTCTCATAGCTTGAAGGACTTGACTCCATTAAAATCCTGAACCTCTATATGAAAAAAATATATATGTTGAAGATTTTTAAAGAATAAGAATTTTCATTGGTGCCTCAATCATTAATATAAGACAAAACTATCTAACTAATAAATATTTACATGTATAAGTATTTTGTTCCTTACTGTACAATAAAGTGAGAAGGCAAATCATCTGCCTTGAGGACTAACATTACAACAGAAGGAAAAAACTTTTTAAACAATTGCTAAATTGTACTTAAATTTATCCAAACTAATATATTGGAATTATTTAAAGTAATATCTCAGTACATGAAACGTATTCAAACAAATACATACACACTATTATTACCTAGGCAGAAACCGTGTACTTTTTCAATAGCTTCTGGAATTGTCATATTCTTTGCTGAAAAGGGGCATTTCACCTCCAGTATTTTTGGCTTAACGTTTGACATCTCTAATATGTCAGCGAGTCCTGGATTCTGATAGCTGAATCCGAATGCAGCAGGACGACGAATGAGTCCATCGGGGCTTGACCCAAGAACCCCATTACAGTGTAGCTAGATACCTAATATGAACAGTATTGTAAAGTTTCAAAATAGCATTAATATGCAACACTCTGATTTTCTTATGCATTGATGACTTGTTATAAATAGAATATACAAACAGTATATTTATATTCATTATCTTCAACTTCAGTTTAATAACTGAATTTTAAATAAATTAGCTCAAGAAAAATTTTTATTTATCATCAATTTTTATTTGCTTTAAAGAAATTGAAATTTTGCTTAGGAAAGAAATGTACCAACCTGTTGGCTCTACAACTGCATCCCCAAAAGTTCTATACTTTTCAATTGCGACTTTTTCATTGCACGTCCCCAAAATAATGGCATCCTTCTTTGACAGATCATAAGCTGAGCATAATCTTTTGTATAAGGAGACAGGATATCTGTTATATAAGGAGCAAACTTTCAATATTTTTGATTTTATAATTAACTGCTTTTACAAGTATCATTTATAATTACATATACATATAAAGGCATGTAAACTACCAGTATACCTATTTCTCTTGATCGCTGCCAAAACACAACCAAAGTTTGAAGCTGTTAATCTATTCTTCCTAACAGATGACCACATGCAATTTTCCTTTAGACCAGTGGTAAGACAGGCAATCTAAAACATGACAAAAATCTTAAAACTTAAACAACATTCATAATGAAACAGAATACATTCTATTCATTATGCAACTCATTTGTCTTTACCTGTTGGATTTCTTGCTCATTTATCATTAATTTTTGCTTCATCCAAGCTATTGGATTCTCTGCAGAAAGAAATTCCTGGCTAGAGATGAGGTCTTCAACTAGAGGCACTGCAAGTGTGGGCACAGGCGGCTCGGGGGATGGTATCCAATGCATTGCTGTTGATTTAATTAAACAAAAAAATTAAACCCTCAGTGAAAAAGACAACAAATACTCAATAAACCTGTATTGCAGTTACATCACCAATTCTTAATACTGGTATATATGTTAAATATTTTTTGAATTCAAACTTATTTTATTTACTACTTCAAATAAATTTTGGATTTCAATATGTATACATGTGAAAAGAATGTACAAATAACTTCCTTTAAGTATGTATGAGAAATAGGGTGAATAATATTTAAACATTTTACTAAAGGTTGCAGTTGAGTTGAAATTTTATATTACGTCACGATCTTCTAGTTTGACAGATGCGTTCAATGTAAATAGTATACGTCTCCTAACCGCAAGCTTTACGACTGGAACTTTCTTCTAATCCCTGATTGTTTGCTTGTACGACAAACTATTTCTGTGTCAAGGTTGATAATATGAGTTTATCAATCACATGAATTGTTTACGCTGAATGCATCTGTCAAAAAAGATTGTGACTTGATGCAAAACTTCACACTGAATTGAAATTGATAGTATAAATGTATAATTAAAAGTTTAAAACAAAGTCAACACAAAAACAAAAGAGACAAGAACAAAACTAAACATGTAAAAGACAAAAAAAGCAAAAAGAATGGAAAGACTGCACATCTTGTCAGAATTTCAGTCCAATGTCAAATAAGCCATTAAATATCTGAAGTCAAAAGTCCGGGTGTAATGAGTTAGTTAGGTGTTTTGTGAATTTATATATATATATATATATATATATATATATATATATATATATATATATATATATATATATATGTGTGTGTGTATATGCATTCTATCCTATCACAGTATAAATTTTCAAAAAAGTAACAATAAAATAAACTCGTAAACAATATGACACTAAAAAAAAACACCAGATATATTAACCTGAAAATCTCCCTACAGTTGTCAATTTCTGATATAGGAACTCCCTGTCCCTATCATTGACTGGCCTATTTGTTGCCCTAGTAATTTTTGACAAAAGTTGAAAAATGGAGCATAATACAACACTGAATGGTTTTACATATACCATGCTAGCTGCAGATCTGTAGCTTGCTGGTCTGAAAAAATTAGGATGGACGACCAGAGAGATACAGTTCCATCCATTGAAAAAAGTGTATATTGCCCATAAAAAATATGCTATTTCTCTATTTTTTATATTTTCACTTTTGGGGTACTGTCATTTTTTAATATTTTGCACCATTCATGAAACAGTCATAATAAATGCATACCTGTAATTTATAAACCTGTCACGTGCAGGAAAAAGTTCTTCCATCGTCTTAGTTTGACGAGGTGGCGCACTCTGGATGCGTAATCCAACTCTTGCGTACATCAGTTTTGCTGACATTTTTGTACCTGTATCAACATGTTCCATAAATTCACTAAGTTATATTATAGTCTTGGGGCCTAAAGTTAGATTTTATAGTAAAAGTATGCTTATATATGCCAAGGTAGTGGACTTGGAGGTTCCAGGGCACGAATAGTACCCTGCTACCTACAGTCACATGGTGAACTGCACACTTGTATATACCAGGTATATATATTGGTGTGCATGTTTTGATATAATTTCTATTTAACATTAAATTTGGTAAAGCATACCTAAAACAGACCAAGTGAATTTACATATTACATAAATTGCATATAAATTACCCATAGAGAAGAATGCTGGCTTTATGGTGACATTAGTCCATCCCATTTACACATTCACAGGTACTCTGTTCAACTGTGTAGTTAGAACCAAGAGTAATCTAATAAAATAAAAAAAAAATAACCACCTAGAATTTTACTTATATTATCTGATACTATCAATTTTAAAAGTAAAAAGCATGTTTACATGGAAACTTGAAAATTGTGGAAAGAGAAAAAAAAGAATTGTATATTAATTTATTATTATGTATCAAGACATTGCATAGACACTTTCAGTCAAAGAAATTCGGAAAGAGGTTTGTTCTGGATTTATTGCATAGGCAGGATAAAACATATAACGTGCGAGTACACCCATTATTGCTGAGTACCCATTATTGCCGATTTTCGTTTTTACGTTTTAAAATCTGTCAAACGGTATTTATTTGTAAATTTTTTGCAAAATACATAAATTACACAATTTTTCCAAACCCCAAATCGTCTCGGAGAAAGAAAATTAAAGTTGTTTAGAATTAATAAATTCACCATTAATATATCAAGTCTTTGAAAACGCACAAAAAAGCAGTCGTGCGACAGGACATGCCATAGAATTTTCAGCTAGCTTTCCATTTTCCTGACAGAATCAGTCATGTTTTGGTGCAAATCAAATGAATATTCTCCTGCATGCAATGATATTAAACGAAATTATGGTAATTTTTCTACTTGCATTATTTAACGAAAATTACGACGAGTATGAAGCGTCTGCTGTACGACGCCATTTTTGTTTTATACGGGAGCGGATCAAAATCCACCACATGCACCTGTTCTTAATAAATCTGCAATAGGTTATTTTTATCGATTTATTTTTGCTCATATCGCTTCAAAATTATATGGACAACTTTTTAAAATAACATAACAAGGTGAAAGTGTCTTGTTCAATTTTTTTTAAATAAAAATATATATAAATGGGAAAATAAATGGGAAAATGAGGAAAAAATTCACAAGTTCTGGATGACATGAGAGTACAAAGACATATCCTGGATTCATCCTTGGAGAAACAATATACTCAATAACTTGCTCTACATTTTTTTTTTCTTCAAGAGATAAAAAAAAATAAATATTATGAAAAATGGAGTTCTATTGAAGATGGGGGTGCAAGCTACTTTTCTTCAAAAACCCCTTTTACAAATCCAAGTCATTTTATGGCTATAAAAATTTGAAACTAAAACCCATGCAGGGGCTGGAGGGTCTAAATTCATACTTTATAATTGAACAAAATAGAGAAAAGTTACTTCCATTTACAGTTACAACATTTCTTTACATACTCCTATATATTTTTAATTCTTCACATAAAACTGTAAAGCTTTGATTTAGCAGCCATAGGCAGAGGTTTGTATGACATTCATTTAACTCCTTAAAATTTCTTCAGATACTGTAGTCAACCATTTATTTGGTCATTGGCAAGGCAAAGACTTAAAAAAAAACAAACTTTTCTTTCTTCCAAAAATCTCAAAGAAATGGGATGAACTTACAGTAACCTGTAGCTCCGGTCTCGCATGGAGGCTTGCACAATTCCCCTTATAAACTGCGCATCTTTGTCATACACAAACTTTAATTAAAACGTGGTCAGATTGTATGGCAGTCTCCGATTTCCGCATAAGTTTCGTTGTACCAGCTGTATAATTTGACCATGGAGAACGCCATACCGCAATCGCGTATACCTAATAAACCTTGTGTAATATGGCGTCTTCTTTGTTTATCTCCAGAAACGAAATCTGGCGATGTCTAGGGGGACACTGTGTAGGCCTAACACCTGCATCATTAGGGACTCCTCGGCTGATTAGGTTTGCCGAATGAGTGGAAAATTTAGCTTGGTACCCTGTCTCACCATTGCCGAGGCAGTGACGCAGAGTAAACGAAGCAAAACAGGGACAGGGAACCAGGCTATGCGTAGGAATTTGTTAAAAGGTCTCTACTAAGAACAAATGTATTTTTGATAACTGCACAATAATAATTACAGTACAGTTTATATTCACATTTAATTAATCAGATTATGAGTATAAATTGTTTCAACAGCGATTACAAGTAGATACACTATATTTCAGAACGTCAGTTTAATTTGGCGACTATTGGGTCAACATCCTGCCTTGAACAGGAAGTTGAACAGGATCCCATAAGCCGGCTATTGCTCTTTGAGCAATAAGCCCGGCTAAAAATTGATATGAAAATATGAAGATAATTATATAAATGGGTTAGATGATTTAAATGGTTTTATTGGTATTGTCAAATGGGGTTATTGAACTCTGAGGACTCGTAAATCATCTTGCTTTATGCATTTACTTTACTAGGTCTATTCTTTAAAATTGCACCAAAAGCAAATTGGTGTAAAAATAATGTTAATCAGTAGAAAAAGAGATCTTGCAACTAAATTTCCGTTTAAATTGGAAGAAAAAAGAAACTTACTCATGAGGTTCCAGTGCCTCCAACTTCCCTTTAAACTGGATCTCTTCGTCACTCCTAAAATGTATTAGAATAGAGATAAATGATATTGTTTATGATTATTTAAATGTTTCAGTCATTATATCACAATAAACAAGAAGTGGTGTAATGAATGCTCCACTCCAGATGAGTGGTTTAAATTACTTAAGTCTATACAAATTTGAGAAATAAAAAAAAATACTTGTTGTTACACTCCCAAAGTTGTACAAAGGATTGAATTACACATTTTACCATTTAATATAACTACTGACTGTTATGAATGAAAATTAATTTTAACAATATACATACATTCAGAGTGGTCAGAACTGATGAATTGAGGGAGATAGAGCCTTTCCATGCTGACACCTCGACACAATTCGCTGTGATTACAAAGTGTGTGGGTGGGAGGGTTAGGTCCACACTCCCCCCCCCCCCCCCCACACAGTTTGCATGTGACGCTGCTGGTCCCCTCGAGTGAGCAGATCCCGCCGTTTCGAGTTTGATGACTCAATGATGTCAGATGCCTGTAAAAATTTACGAAAGACATAATTTAAAGTGAGATTCTATGCAAATGTCATTTACACTTTACAAAGTTGCTGCAGATCTGTAGCGTTATAACAGCAAAGACCGTCAGGTCTGGAATCATTCTTGCTTAGTTTGATTTTAGAAATAACAACGTTGACATTTACGACATTTATTAAATTAAATTTGCAAATAAACAGAACACCCAGAAGTTTCGTTGATGAGCTGCCATATTGGAAAATAGCAGAATTCGTATTAAATTTACTCTTTCAAGTTTGTCAGTCCAAACAAACATTTCCCATAGAGGCTGCTACTTCCATTTTTAGATTACCTGAGTAAACTCAGGTGACCTATTGCTATCTGTTTTCGTCGTGCGTCGTCCGTTAACATTTAAATATTTTCAGCTTCTTCTCTGCAACCACTGAACCAATTTCAACCAAATGTGGCACAAAGCATCTATGGGTGAAGGGGAACAAACATTGTGAATTTCATGGTCCCTGCCCCCCTGGGGGGTGGGGCAAAAACCACTAAAATTAATGCATTCTTTAAAAATCTTCTTCTTTACTCCTGGACATCAAGCAGTCAAACTGTTTGCATGATTGTAATCAGCATTGAGTCCTCTACCAAAATTGTGAAATTTATGACCCCGGGGTCAGGGGTTCTAGTGCTAGGGTGGGGCTAAATAAGTATATAGTGAAAATGCATTATTTCTTTGAAAATCTTCTCTGCTCCTGGGTATTAAATAAACTAACTAAGTGCATAGTTATGATGAGCAAGAGTGCCTCTACCAAAATTGTGAATTTTATGGCCCTAGGGTCAGGGGTTCTAGTGTTAGGGCGGGGCTCTATAGATTATATACTGAAAATTCATGATTTCTTTGAAAATCTTCTTCTCTGCTCCTGAGTGTTAAATAAACTAACTAAGTGCATAGTTATGATGAGCAAGAGTGCCTCTACCAAAATTGTGAAATTTATGACCCCGGGGTCAGGGGTTCTAGTGCTAGGGTGGGGCTAAATAAGTATATAGTGAAAATGCATTATTTCTTTTAAAATCTTGTTCTCTGCACCTGGGTATTAAATAAACTAACTAAGTGCATAGTTATGATAAGCAAGATTGCCTCTACCAAAATTGTGAATTTTATGGCCCTAGGGTCAGGGGTTCTAGTGTTAGGGCGGTGCTCTATAGATTTTATAGTGAAAATGCATTATTTCTTTGAAAATCTTCTTCTCTGCTCTCGAGTGTTAAATAAACTAACTAAGTGCATAGATATGGTGAGCAAGAGTGCTTCTACCAAAAATGTGAAATTAATGGCCCCAGGGTCAGGGGTTCTAGTGTTTCGGTGGGGCTCTATTGATTATATGATGGAAAAACATGAATTTTTTGAAAAAAATTCTTTTCTGCTCCTAGGAATTAAACTAAGTGCATAGTTATGATGAGCAATAAAACCTCTACCAAAGTTTTGATTTTATAGCCCTAGGGCCAGGGATTCTAGCCCCACCCTTAATCTCTGAAAATTTTCTTCTCTGCTCTTGGGTATTCAGCAGATAAACTACTGTAGTTATGATGAGCAAGGACTCTAATCTTCCAGAATTGTGAATTTCAAGGCCCCAGGGTCAGGGGTACCATAGGGGGGGGGATGTACTTATATACTGAAACTGGATGAATTGTTCGAGATCTGCTCCTTGGTATTAATCGAATATTTTTGAAGAGCAAGGGTGTCTTATCAAAAATTGTGCAATGTGTGGATCTAGGCCTAAGGGTCAGGGGTTCATGTGTGATAGGGGCATTACTGTTTATTGCTGAATATAACTAATTACTTGAAATGCAATTTTTGTTCCCCTACCCTGCCTATGGGTATTAAGTAAACAAACTAAGCAACTGCTAAGTGTATTGTTATGATGATCAAATGGTGCCTCTTTCAAAATTGTGAATGCCATAGCATCTTGCTTAAAACATTAATCAAATTAAATCGCTGTAAAGTTGTTGCATAATGCTCAGGTGACCTATAAGGCCCATGGCCGGCCATGGGCCTCTTGTTCTTGCTTGTGCGTGTTGTTAACATCCTCTCTAAAGAGAACAACTCGGAAACGTAGCTGCAGATGCTGAACAGTGGCTTATATTTTTATTTTTTAGAAAAATGTCTACCAATTATTACCCATTGAATTCAATGAGAGCGAACAGACCTTTATTTTCAACAACAGGGACTAAAATGTCTAAAAAACTTTGATGCAGTGAAAACTTGTCTGTGTGCCACTTTTCAATCCACTGAATGCAGAAGATATATATCACTAGATTGTTTTGTTTTGTGTATTTAGCATCTTATGAGCGTTTGCAAAAGCGCACTCCGCAAGTGAGTGGGTGTTTCTATGCAAAATATCTAGATAAAACCCGTAATTGCTATACATACCGCAAAGAAAATGCAAAGACCTGTTTCCTAATACATTCTAAGCATCCATGATATGCGATACCAAGTACACATTATAACGTAATATGACCTCTTTATTGACCTGTACTACATAAGGTTATAAGAAACATCAACAAAAATCGCTTTGGCGCAAGGGCATACATGACTTTGTTTTACAGAAACAAGGTATAACAAGAAGCAGAATATTTAAAGGGTTTCAGATATTGCTGCAGGACCCTTGCACATTAGTGCTGTTTTTTGGCAAATATGTATCAATTTTTTTCTATAGTTGTTGTTGACTGTGTAACACTCATGGTGGCCAAACTTGATGTCATCTCAGTTGTTATTTATTATAGTTCTTCTTGCATGGTTTGTCCTTCCTGCATGATAATGATGGTATCTCTAGGTTCTTCCACGCCACAGTTAATAAGGTTTCTGTCAGCATCATCATGGAAAATCTATTCAAAAAAAGAAACAACTTGCATACACAGATATAAAAGTGTAACAGGATGATTTTAATTATTTTGCAGTTATGTTTAAATTTCAATCTCAAACCAAGTCTTGCATCAAGTGACCTTATCAACTGTCTCACTTCTGCTGTTTAGTCTCTTTATTAATATTGTAGGTTTTCTAGCCACCCTTTGTGTGGAAACAGAAAATATATCTTTCTCCTCTAAATGTAGAAGTCTACAAACGTCAACTTCATTCCTTATTGATAAAATATAGGATTGTATAAATACTTCAGTCTGTCCTTTTGAAGTAAGTTTTACTTTCATACACAAACTACCAAATCAGCACCAGATAAAATCTACATTTTTTCAAAAACAACTTAATAAAATAACTAAAATCAGTTATCTATAAAGTTTATTTCTTAAAATTGTATTTATTTAATTCTTTCAGGCAATATGAAGTGATGTTTACAATTGTCAGAAATGCTATGAAAAGTAATAAGTATTAAGAATATAATTTTAAAACTAAAAGTGTTTCTTCAACACAACAATTTAAGATTGTCTTGAACCTGAATACTGAATACTCATTCTCAGTGAAAAGGAATTTCTTACAACATTCAAAGTGAAAAGTATGTAATTTCCACTTTTCACTTACTCTCCTGACTGACCGTTCACGGTAGCTCAGTCGGTAGAGCGCTCGCTCCGTGAGCGGGAGGTCGTGAGTTCGCATCTCGGCCGCGACTGACCTAGACGTTAAAATTGGTAGCAACTGTTCCTTCGCCATGCGCTCGGCACTTTGAAGTGAAAGTTGCGGGTCCTTCGGATGAGACCTTAAAAACCGAGGCCCCGTGTCAGCGGCAGGCGTTGGCACGATAAAGATCCCTCACT